TTTCCCTCAGTCTGCCCAGTATTTCATTATATTTGGCAGAAGATCATCCACACTTTTGTTAAAAAGAAAAGCTTTTTGTGTGCTTTTTGTTGGTTTGGTTTGGTTTGGTTTTTATTGCACTGATTTCAGAGCGGAAAGTAGAGGTAGCAGAGACTATAAGCAGTAACTTTTAACTGGAAAACTTTGTACTGAGTTGATTAAAGAAAGTGTCCCGCAGTTGCCATTGTAAAGAAAATGATACATATCTTTTTTGCATTTTTATTGTCTTTTTAGAAGTTCTTTAGAGGGGTGCCTGGGTGGCTCAGTCAGTTAAGCGACAAACTATTGATTTCAGCTCAAGTCGTGATCTCACAATTGTGAGTTAGAGCCCCTTGTCTGGCTCTGCACTAATAGCATGGAGCCTGCTTAGGATTCTCTTTCTCCTTCTGTCTCCCCACTCCCCTTCCCCGCAACTTGTGCTCTCTTTCTGTCAAAATAAACATTAAAATGTTCTTTAGAAATAACTTTTATTGGGTTAATATCCAGAATCTATAAGGAACTCACCAAACTTCACACCTGAAAAACAAGCAACCCAGTGAAGAAATGGGCAGAAGATATGAACAGACACCTCTCCAAAGAGGACATCCAGATGGCCAACAGACACATGAAATGATGCTCAGCATCCCTCCTCATCAGGGAAATACAAATCAAAACCACACTGAGAGACCACCTCACGCCAGTCAGAGTGGCTAAAATGAGCAAATCAGAGAACTCTAGATGCTGGCGAGGATGTGGAGAAACGGGCACCCTCCTGCACTGTTGGTGGGAATGTAAACGGGTACAGCCCCTCTGGAAAACAGTGTGGAGGTTCCTCAGGAAACTAACAATAGAACTCCCCTATGACCCAGCAATAGCACTGCTAGGAATTTACCCAAGGGATACAGGAGTGCTGATGCACAGGAGCACAAGTACCCCAATGTTCATAGCAGCACTCTCAACAATAGCTAAAACCTGGAAAGAGCCTAAGTGTCCATCAACAGACGAATGGATCTAGAAGATGTGGTTTATCTATACGATGGAATACTACATGGCAATGAGAAACAATGAAATCTGGCCATGTGTTGCAACATGGATGGACCTTGAGAGTGTTATGCTCAGTGAAATAAGTCAGGCAGAGAAGGACAAATATCATATGTTTGCACGTATAGGAGGATTAGGAGGAACTTGACGGAGGAACAAGGGGGAGAAGAAGGGGGGAAATGGTGGGGGAAAGGGAGAGAGGCAAACCATGAGAGACTCTTGAATGCTGATAAAAACTGAGGACTGAAGGATGTGGGGGGGAGGAGGGATGGGCATGGAGGAGGGCACTTGTGGGGATGAGCACTGAGTGTTATGTGGAAACTAATTTGACAATAAACCACTTGTAAAAAAAAACAACTTTTATTGCATAGATAGAAAAAAATTCTTATTTGGAAAATTTCTAAAATAACAAAGGTTAGTGGACATATTTGTTTAAATGTAAACATTTGTATTCATAATAATAGATTTTTTTCCTACAATGAAACCCATGGTGGATACTTAGACTCAACTCTTTTTTTTTTTAATTAGAATGGGGAGCAAAAGATGAAGAATACTGTTAGGGGAAAAGATGGCAGAACAGGTACCAGATAAGCTGCCCTTACTCTGAAATATGTATGTAAAAAGTACAAAAAGCTTTGGCTTTAACTATTCAGTTTGTTGAATTTGTTTTGGTTTACATGAATTTACTGAGTCATATAAATGGTGGGTGTAGGTAACTTTTCCTAAAAGCCAAAGACTTTTCATCATCTCTCTTGGTGTAAAATCACAAGGGTGAGCTGATGATCACAAATTGATTTTTGAAAATAATGCTATCAGATAGACAGAAAAGTTGCTTCCTGAGAAGCTGCATTAGGTATGTTGGGTGATTCCATGCCCGGTCTGTTTTAGAGACGAAAAGAAACTGTTAGAGGACTTACAGCTCAGTGGGCTATGTTCCTGGTGCATGTGCTTGTTTATCCAGTCGGCAATTGACTCTGTCCACTGAGTTCCCAGGATGAGTCAACATCATGTCTTTCTTATACTATCAGTTCAGGTTATATTTGACCACATGTTCTTGCGCATTTTGATTAAATTCTATTTATTTACTTATTTTTAAATGCCTTATTTATTTTGAGAGAAAGAGAGAGAGGGAGCACGAGCACAAGCAATGGAGGGGCAGAGAGAGAGGGAGAATCCTAAGCAGGTGCCCAGCTGTCACCACAGAGCCAGACTAGGGCTCAGTCCCATGAACCATGAGATCATAACCTGAGCCAAGCTCAAGAGTTGGGCACTTAACCCACTGAGCCATTCATGCACCCCCTGCCCCACTGATTTTATTTTAAAACGAGAGGAAAGAAAGGTCTTAGGATGGAGCACTGCATCAGGGTCTGTACTGAGCATGGAGATTGTGTAAGTTTCTCTCTCTCTCTCTCTCAAATAAATAAATAAATAGGAAGGAGATTACACATCTTATATAAAATCTAATTAATTGAGGTGCTTGGGTGTCTCAGTCGGTTAAGCATCCAACTTCGGCTCAGGTCATGATCTCATGGTTTGTGAGTTGGTTTGTGAGTTTGAGCCCTGCATCAGCCTCTCTGCTGTCAGCCCAGAGCTCATTTCAGATCCTCTCTCTCTCTCTCTCTCTCTCTCTCTCTGCCCCTCCCCCACTTTATCTCTCTCTCAAATATTTTTTAAAAATCTAATGAATTGATCTATCGATTCAGTGGTCATTAAATCTGTTTATATTCTTAAATAAATCCTATATTTTATAGGTAACCGTCACTGTAATATGTGTGTGTGTATATATGTGATATGTGATATATGTTTATATATATAAATTATATATATATTATATATATATAATCTTAATGTTCTTCTTGATGGAAATTCATCCACATTTGTTTGGCCCATTCTTATTTATCTTCTTAGTAAGTTAAATAGATGCCCATTGAATTTGATTCTACCTTCCACTTAGAATTCTCTTTCCCATACTCAAGTCCTTTCTAATATTATTTAATCCATCTTTAGCATTAGTAGTACTGTTTTAGCACAAATGTGCTAAAAGCACATCCCAATGTAAAAATGTGTATGTATAAAAATGAACATTGTACTCCAATCTCTACTGTGCAGCAGACATATTTCATTTTGCAGTCATGTTTTTAACGTAGGAAAATGTTAATCCCAAGAATATTACAGTTGGAAAGGTCAAGGCAACCACAGGGGAATTTTCTTAAAGCTGTTCATTACAAACCTAAGCAAAGTCAGTGTTCTTCTTTCACTCAGATGACACAGGAGACAGAGGGGAACAGAAGGCAGGTGTTTTGCTCACTTTTAAATGGCTATGTTTTGAAGCCTGCAATTACAGAATGCCCATAAAACCTAATAATTTTGAAGCCAGATTAAAATTTGAGTTTGAGTTATGATTCACCATGTAAGTACTAAAATCCTAGCCTGTGTTAGTAATGTATAAAATACTAGCCTCTGTAGTTTTATTAGTCATAAAATATTCGAATTAGACCAATAAGATATTTAGCAAGTTGATAACAATATATATACATACTTGTGCACTTACACACACACACACACACACACACACACGCATTTGGAGAGAGAGAAATGAAAGCATCTCAGTCAAATTTTATTTTCAGTCTCAGGAAATTAAGCAACAATTTGGCCCTCAATTTACTCAATGACCAAATTTCTGATTTTGGACTTTATCTTTGGGTAATTGGGTTCAACAACCATATATTATTGAAAACCAGTATCTGGATGCCTACTTCGAATGAATTGTGAAATGCCTTTTGCCAAATATCTGACCCTGAAGAAATATTTTGGAAGTTTCTTGTTATTTTTAAGATTTGTGGTGTGTGAAATATTTCAGTTTCTTTAAGAAGATATTAAGAAGTAATTTAACAGTGTATTTTATTTGAATACAGAAAGGCAGAGAGCAAATATTCTCATATCACACGCACACATAACATACATACAAATGTCTATATATATACATATATGTATATGTGTGTATATATACTTATATGATATATATGTATACATACATATACGTATATATATAGATGTATGTATGTATGTTATACATATGTATGTTATACATACATATATATCAGATAGACCATATGATTTACTTGTGGCCAGATTTGGTTGTCACAGCATGGAGATGAAGGGGCAGTAGGAAGCCTTCCCATCAGTGGGACTAGAAATCAGCCAGAAGGTGCACAGTCCTATTTCCAAGTAACCCGGCAACATGTGGTCATTAGTTGGGTGAATACTTGAAGCTAGAACTGGGGAGGAAGAAAAAGGTAACTAAAATGGAACTTTTACTATCTTCAAAGATCCACTGAAATGACTTGGCATTCATGTACACATGAAATGATGTTGTTCACATGGGGGTTTTGCAGATAGATACAGATAAGGTAATACTGTGTAATTAACTGAAGCAGTATATTAGCAAAATTTAAAAACTGGAAGTTGAATAAATAGGTAACACTACCATGAACTTGGCAGAGGTAGCATATTATTTTTGGAACAGCATTAGTGTGAGTCATTGATCTCTAAAATCATAGAGCGAAAGCACTCAATTTGTTAAGCCCTAAACACTCATCTTCCCTAAGTGCAAGTCAGGGGCTGTGAAACTCTAATGGGAGCAGACCCCTAATCTGCCTGATGTTATGTAACACTGGAAATGCAGTTCTCTATGAACCCCCTGTTAAATATGCTAGACTCATAATGAATACGTCAGGGCCAGCCCTTCACTCAATTCAGCATAAAATGTGGACCTACACTCAGAAGGCCAATTTGCCCATTGAAATTATTCCTGATCTATAAGCCTCCTAACATTTGTATGAATAATTTCATAACTAATAATTTACTAAGGGAGAAAAACTTTTCCCTCTCTTATATCATCTTTTCACCAAGGCAAAAAAATGAGGTCAGAATATGATGAATGCCTTTGCTCTGCCCTTCTGGTAGATTTTTAATAACAATACTATCAGATGTGTGTAAAATGTATGGGATGCCAGATCAACTTAGTTTCAATTTGCACTTCTTTTCAGCTCACGGAAAAAACAAACTTTGCATCTGTGAGTCCATTGGCTTGCACATCTGTGGATTATTATACCTTTGCAGTAGATATGCTATATATATGGTGTTCAACTTCTTTGGCTGCTGTCCTCCACCTTAAGAAGCAAAAGAACAAACATCACGTTAAAGTAACAAAAGGAAACTGCTACACTGGGGTGGCCTTGCTTGAGATCGATCTCAGTCATTTTCCTTAACTTGTCATGATCCCAGGGTCCTGGGAATCCACCTCCGAGTCAGGCTCCACACTAAGTGAGGAGCCTATTTGGGATTCTCTCTCTCTCCCTCTCCCTCATCCTCTCCCCTGCTCACAATCTCTTTCTTTCTCTGAATAGATAGATAGATAGATAGATAGATAGATAGATAGATAGATGATAGATAAAACCTTGAATCTGTGCTTTGTTTTTTGAGGGAAATGATTTATAAATACATTATATTAAGAATATGTGAGGGACACCTAGGTGGCTCAGTGGGTTAATTATCTGACTCTTGGTTTTGGCTTAGGTCCTGATCTCACAATTCATGGGATTGACCCCCACCTCAGGCTCTGCTCTGACAGTACAGAGTCTGCTTGGGATTCTCTCTCTCCCTCTTTCTCTGCCCTTCCCTTGCTTTCTCTCTCTAAAAAAATAGAATATGTGAGATCATAGTGGAAGAACTAAGACAATACAACTACATTTTTAATTCACCATTTTTTAATGTTTAAAAAAATTTTAATAAATCTGTTTCTAACAATTAATACAGTAATGGCAGGTTTTCATAGATGTCAGTGTACTTCTTCCTAATGTGTAGTTTATGGAGTTTTTTTTGGGGGGGCGAGGGTACTGACCATTCATTAATTATTCATTAAACAAGTGTTGATTTATTCATTAAACATGAGTGTACACTGAGCAAGCACTGTGCTGAGAGTGTCCTCACATATTAGGCCCAAAGTACACCTTATCTTTGTCTTGTGTTGAATTTGACATTTAGAACACAAATTTAAGTAAATGCCAGGGTTTTCCTCTGAAGATGTAGCAATTTCCTGTGTTTGAAACTGTTTGTCCTTTTTGGTTCTGTACACTTTGGGCAAAAAAATCATTTATACAAACTTCTGGTGGCTGATTCCCATAACCAAATTGTGTAAATCAAATATAACCACAAAGTTTTACGAGAACAGGATATGATTCATACCTTGCTCAATATCTTCGTTTCTGTTTTTTGTTGTGTTTTTTTTACTTGATTTTTTTTCTTTGACTAGTGTGGGATGAGTTTCTTCTAATGTCAGCCACACCAGCTTGCATTTATTATGTGGCTCCTCTGCCTAAAAGAACACCAGATAGATATGTCGTCTTCATCATGCCACGGAAACAGAGTCCAATGTAGTCATCTAAAAATTAACATTATTTTTGTGAAATCATTTCTCTGTAGGTTTGGTCAATGCAGTTCTCACCCTGAATGTTATTCCCCAGACCGCAGTGATTTGTTTTCTACTACTTGATAAAATTCTCAAATGGCAGTGGCTATCTCTTATCTATAGTTCCTCAATATTTTGCATGCTTTTTGCTTTAAAGGGAGAAATGTTTCTTTAGCCATTTTTATGGCATAAGTTTATGGGGCTTCCTTGTTTATATTATAGTAAAAATCTTTTCTAAGTTTTTAAATTTTTTTTTATTTTTAATGTTTTTTATTTATTTCTAGGAGAGAGAGAGAGAGAGAGAGACAGCGTGAGCAGGGGAGGGTCAGAGAGAGAGGGAGTCACAGACTGAAACAGGCTCCAGGCTCTGAGCTGGCAGTCAGCACAGAGCCCGACGCAGGGCCCGAACCCACGAACCGCGAGATCATGACCTAAGCGAAAGTCGGACGCTTAACCGACTAAGCCACCCAGGCGCCCTTTTTTTTTAAATTTTTTTTTAATGTTTTTTATTTATTTCTAGGGGAGAGAGAGAGAGAGAGAGCTTTTCTAAGTTTTTAATGTCCATTGATTTTTGAGAGAGAGAGAGACAGAGAGAGCATAAGTGGGTGAGGAACAGAGAGGGGGAGACTCAGAACCTGAAACAGGCTCCAGACTCTGAGCTGTCAGCATAGAGCCCGACGTGGTACTCCAACCCATCAACCGTGAGATCATGACCTGGGCCAAAGTCGAACACTTAACCGACTAAATCACTCAGGCACCCCTGTACTAAAAACCTGATTCTTGTCTGCACTCACACCCCAACCCCACTGCTTGTCCCTACCTTCACTCCTGCCCCTCTTTTGAACCAGAGGCTCCTATATTCCTATGACAGCATCCTCGTGATAAACACTGGCACCACCTTCCTCCCTGGACCCAAGTCTTTTGCACAGCACTGGACTGGATTTTGCAACAGAATCCTTTTAATAAAGTAATGTTAGCACTTAATGTAAGGAACGGAAAAGTTATAACGAGAAGGAATAGATTCCCACTGCTCTTTTCCTTAAATTATAAACGATCCTATAATGGCTCTCTGAATATAACATACTATATATATGTCTAGCTCCTGTGCTAGAGTCTATAGCACAAAAGACAAAGACGTTTTCCCAAATGGGCACAGTCAGATGGGAAGGAAAACTCTCTTTTCAGGAGAACTGCACTCTGAGATGCTCTTCATCTCTTTGAGATGTTGTGTCCTGGATGTAAATAACAAGAGACTGTAAGTGTCCTTGAGTAAGAATAGATTAAGGAAATTGATTTTCAAATCCCCCACTTCCACATAGGCTCTTTCTTGGGAAAATGCCTTTTCTGAATGGACACCCCCATTCTCCTCTCCTACCTCCCCTTTGACAGTTATTCACCCCTGTCCCCATCCCACATCTTAGCTGCTGGGTTGCCCATAAATACAGAAGCTTCCAGGTGCTAATGGGAAACCTCTTTAGTCACGATATCATCAATAGATAGACCTCCTCTGTCTTAGTAATAGATCCATTTCCAATAAGGCTTTGTACATTTTTTTATGTTTTAAAATGTTATTTATGATGATTTCTAATGTTTCCCTGAACAATTGGTTACTGCAGGTAATTGTTAACAATAATTCCAGAAGAAATTTTAGACATTTCAAATGTATGTTCATAGGAAATGTTGTTATACCTTTATATTTAATTATATTTTTATTGCAAAGAAAGATGATAGCGTGTTCAGTCAAAACACGCATGTATAAAAATACAGGAAGATAACCTGTAGGGAAAATGGAATGAAAATATGATTTCGCTGAAAGAAAAGGCATGAGATTTTTGAATATTAAAAAGGATAGGTTCGTATGTTTTGAACTGAATGATAAGGTAATTACATCATCATGGTTATTTTTATAACCTTTTTGGATACATTTTAGAAAGCCATTTAGCATTTCTATCCAAACTAGAAGTTATATCCTTTGACACTATTGAAACCCATCAAAAAAAATTTGATTCCAACTTTCAAAATGGAGATGTGCCTCACTTAAGGTTACCTCAGGAAGTCAAAGACTAAAAACATGGGAAGAAACACAGGTCTCAAGGTCACAGTTAGCGAACACTGGTAAGCATCACACTTGCATTGTATATTTTCCTTTTTTTTCTAGAGGGGCTCCTCACCCACAATATAGTTATTTCTTTCCACCTCAGGCTCTTTCAGCTATTTTGGAGATAGTACTTTTCCTTGGAGGTAGATCTGTCACTGAAGGGCAGATTTCATGCAACACCCTCCCCCTTGGCCCTTGAAATCTCTTGTTCCATGTATTGACTTCCTCATATCAGACTCAGTCCTGAAAATCCTGCTCCCTACTTTGATGTCATGCAGTCAACTTGCTCAGCACAGTGGAGGCATATGGATTGCTAGGCTGGTGGACAAGGAACTCCTAACAGCATCTGTGGGGAGCCAGAGGGTTTCACCCCAGGGAAACTGAGACCTATTTTCTGGGAATGGGAAAAGAAACCTTGCCCCTGTCTAAAATTCTAATTGTATTTGAGCTTTGCAACACCTTTTTCCTGAAATTACTCTGTCGGGTGTTGCTAATAATTTATTAAGAATTAAATCTAAAGGATATCTTTAATTTGTATCTCATTTGAATTATCTGCGTTATTTGACAGGGATGACTATCCCTTCTTTGATATTATAGCTTCCATGACAGTTGACTCTTGGATCACCCCCTATTTCTCCCACTAGTCCCTCTTAAGCTCTTTCGTGTGTAGTTCTTGGCCTGTCTGCCCCCAACTTCTGCTTAAATTTTTTTTAAATGTTTATTCATTTTTGAGAGAGAGAGAGAGAGAGTAGGGAAGATGCAGAGAGAGGAGACACAGAACCTGAAGCAGATTCCAAGCTCTGAGCTGTCAATACAGAGCCAGATGCAGGGCTCAAACCCACATATTGAGAGATCATGACCTAAGCCAAAGTCAGAGCTCAACTGATAGAGCCACCCAGGCACCTGAAACTCTACTTTTCTACTGTAAACACTATCTTTGGTGACCCTACCCTCAGTCTGGTCTTTGGCTACCAATAGGGTATTTACACAGGTCAAATCCGTTTTCCCTTGGGCCTTTCTGCTGAGTTTCATGTTAGTCTTGTAACCTACTCTCAGTATGTGTGGCTCTTTGTTTTGATGTCAATTGTGTTTCCCTTAAATATGAGTTAAATTGTTGTTCCAGGAAGATACATGATGTATATCCAGTGATTTCCCATTCACTCTCACATAAAATATCAACCTGTAGGCACACATACCTCTCTGGCTAAACAAAAAATATGGCCATACTCAAGTTATTCACAGATTTTCAACATTAGAACTCTGCTTTGGCCCAGTGGGTCACATCACTTTCGTAATAGAGCTCCTTTCAGTCTCTGCCACAGTAATTGTCCCTACCTGGAATGTTCATTTTTTTCTGTCTTCCCTGAGCTAAATACTCTTCCTTCTTTCAAGGGTTCCTCCAATCTTCACACACTCCATACTGTCATTCTTAGCTATTATGATACCCATTCATCTTAACATGCTAGAACTCCATTAAAGTGTTTTGTGCATGTAAATTCATTTGCACAGGAAGTCATATATAGTCTTCAACTTACACATGAAAACTTCATGCATATGTACTTCAATTTCACAACTAACATATAAGGTCTTAGAGTGTGGGGGCGGGGATGGTGGCTCTTTATTTGCTGACTTCTAATACCTAGAAGTTAGGTTTGAACATAATGGTGTTTAAAAAGCACTTGCTAATGAATACTTTAAAAAGTCACTAATTGTCAACATCAGGGTGTAGAAATAAGAGATTTATTATCATCAGAAAGTCATAGAGCCAGTGGTATATTTTGCCGGAAAAAGCAGTCACCTATGGTGTAGGATTTGACAGTGTGAAAAATATCTTCTTGTCCAGATATATCCCCCTTAAACATTCTGCTCTGTGCTTAAAGTTCTCCTGGTTTCTCAGAGTTAATAAAGCCCAAGGGGAAAAAATGCCAATGTTATTTGGAAAAGTAGTTGGGTTCAATTGGTTTACCCAATTAGTCAAATTAGTTGTTCAGACTTAAAGAGCATGCAGCTCTGGGGAAGGCAGTGGCTGGAGAAATATTTAGGGCACTAAGGATATAAGATCAATGTGTTGACTATGTGAGAAGGAATGAAGCATGTGTTGTGAAGAAGTCATGGGCACAGAAAGAAGCTATTGAAGGAAACCTATCTATACTAGATGGGTGTGTTTTGTGCAAGGTGACTTTTGTTCCATACATGTTGAGCAGACCCTTAGGGGTAGTGAAAGTGTCATCAAATGTACAATCCGAGTTACCACCTTCCGGGAAATGTTCTATGTAGGGTTCTCCATGCATTATGCATTAAATGATAGCACCAAAGCCATATTTACTCGGATATTTTGATTTTGTTCAAGTATCGTTTATATAAAAAGGAACAAGTTTGGTCAAGGAAAGGAGCAAATGAGAGAACAAAGAGGAAGAAAGTAATGTTCATATGTTTCCTGTTTGAGTGACTGGTACTGTGTAGACACTTGAAAGATTTATTTTATGTTTTTTCACAATAAGAGAGTTTCTCTGAGAAGAAATCGAGATTCAGAAAAATTAGGTAAATAGTCCAGTGTCACCTGTTCTTTTTTTTAATGTTTTATTTATTTCTGAGAAGGAGAGAGAGAGAGAGAGAGCAGGGGAGGATCAGAGAGAGAGGGAGACAGAATCTGAAGCAGGCTCCAGGCTCTGAGCTGGCTGTCAGCACAGAGCCTGACGCAGGGCTCGAACCCACGAACCATGATATCATGACCTGAGCTGAAGTCGGACGCTTAACCAATTGAGCCACCCAGGCACCCCCAGTGTCACTTGTTTAGTAAGAGCTCATTATGGTATTTAATATAAGAGCTCTAGAATTTCACTTTCCATGCTTTGTTTTCTTTTTGTTTTGTTGTGTTTTTGTTTTTGTTTTTTTTTTATAAAATTCCAATTAGAATGAGAAAGGAGCAGAAAGGTAAAGAGAGAATCATGAGAGCTTAGATCTTTTCACTCATCATGTGACTAGACATTTTTCTGTAATGTGAAATTCCAGAATATATGAAGGTAATCAGGTTTCTGCCTTATAGGTGACATAAACCAAGTTTTGAATTTTTTTTTAAGTGTTTGAGTATGTGTTACAGAAGCAGACTCTGAAACCAGATTCATATGCAAATAGATCATCTGGGAAGTGATCTCAGCAACATGAGCAGAGGAATTGGGGAATGATAAAGAAACAGGAAAGAAGCCACAAGGGGGGGGGGGGAAGTGCATTATCAAACAGGCCACTATAGTAGCTTAATCCACCATGGTTGTTACCCCTGAGGGGAAAGTGGGGCATTGTGAACAAACTCCTAGCAATTCCTGATGAAGCGCCAATCCTGTAAGGCTTTTTAATTTCCCATTATTTCCAACCTGTTTTCCATCATGCATGAGGTGGGGAGGAGGGTGGGCTCAGGCAACCAGAGCAAGCCTTCAAGCAAGGAGCAGGTGCTGGCAGTTGGAAGTTGACTGGCAGGTACTGAAGTCATCTGCTTCATTAAGGAAAATAATGTGCTATAAGAATAGTAGGTTGTGGATGGAATCACCGGAATTCCAGGAGACTTAAAGTCAAGTATTCCAGAAAAATTCCTCAAACTCCTTCATGAAGTGCATTTGTGACGACCAGCATGTACCCTCACAGTGCAATGAGAGCTGCTTATAGCACCTCAGCAGAGTTAGCCCTTGACCTGTAACACCCACATTGGCGTCCCTGCTCTGGCTGCTCCTGGCATTTGAACTTGCTGTAATTTTTCTCTCTGCCAGAGAGTTTCTTTAGTCAGCCATCTCTAGAAATGTGATTGGCAGCACACAGGTCATTTGCCTGAGCTCTAGCTGCAAGAGAAGTGAAGAGAGTATCTGGAACATTAGCTTCTGTGGTGGAAGTGCGCTTGGATAATCCCGTCCAAGTTCACAAGGTATGAGCGGTGATTCTGGAAGCATAGAAAAGGAGTTAAGATACTGATTCTCTGGGAAAGAATAACAAATATCCTTGATCTGCAGTTAATATTTTTTTAATCCACAATTTTTAAATTACTCTGTTGGTCTAGTTTTCAGAAATCAGCTGTGCAGCAAAGAATTCCATCAGGAAGGGTAAAAGGGGTGTTCGGTGGAGCGTCTCAGCTTTAATAAGGGCTTAGGCTTATATCAATCTTGTTTCAGTGCCATTGTTGTTTTTCTGGGTCAAAATTCTTTTTTTTTTTTTTTTTTTTACAAATAGTTTATTGTCAAATTATTTTCCACATAACACTCAGTGCTCATCCCCAAAGTGCCCTCCTCCATGCCCATCCCACCCTCCCCCCCACATCCATCAGTCCTCAGTTTTTGTCAGCATTCAAGAGTCTCTCATGGTTTGCCTCTCTCCCTTTCCCCCACCATTTCCGCCCTTCTTCTCCCCCTTGTTCCTCCGTCAAGTTCCTCCTAATCCTCCTATACGTGCAAATATATGATATTTGTCCTTCTCTGCCTGACTTATTTCGCTCAGCATAACACCCTCAAGGTCCATCCATGTTGCTACACATGGCCAGATTTCATTGTTTCTCATTGCCATGTAGTATTCCATGGTATAGATAAACCACATCTTCTTGATCCATTCATCTGTTGATGG